AGAAGGGAAGGAGCAGGGTTGTTTCCTCTCCCCGCTCCATTCCCTGCTCCAGGGGCGCCGCCCCGGCTCGCCCGAGTTCGGGCAGACAGCACCCCCTCGTGGTCACACCTGCTGAAGCTGCTGGCAGGCCGCACTGCCCTGCCCCACCGACATGCCAAACCCTCCGCTCCTGTGTGATCAGTTAACCCGCGAAACGTTTCCTTTCCTCCGCTGAATGGGGGTGGGCGGGGGGCTGCGTCAGCCGGGCGGGGCCTGCAGTAGGCGAGGCTGCTCCGCCGGGCTGGGGGCCTGTCGCGGGCGGGGACTGATCGGGCGGGCCCCGCCGTGCTGTGCCAAGGGCGGGCGGGAGCTACCACAGTCCAGCCTGGTCACCGGTTAACCACCGACACCCCTAGACATGGCTCCCCCTGGGCGGCGGGAGTCTGAGCCCCAGCCGCGCTGTCAAGGCGGGAGCTGCAGACTGCACGGCAACGCCTGCCCAGTGCCGGCCGAGTGGGAGTTGGACGTGGTTTGTGGTTTGGGGGGGCTGCAGCTCACAGGTTCTCCAGGTTCAAGGGGGGTCGTCGTCCTTGAGTCCAGCCTTCCCCCCACGAGTCTTAGGCCAACCTCTAGCCCAGCATCAGAAGAACATAAGAACGGCCGGACTGGGTCAGACTGGGTCCATCCAGCCCAGTATCCTGTCTGCCCACAGTGGCCAGCACCAGGTGCCCCAGAGAGGGTGGACCGAAGACAATGATCAAGCGATTTGTCTCCTGCCATCCCTCTCCAGCCTCTGACAAAGAGAGGCCAGGGACACCATTTTATCACCTGGCTAATAGCCTTTTATGGACCTGACCTCCATGAAACTATCTAGCTTCTCTTTAAACTCTATTATAGTCCTAGCCTTCACAGCCTCCTCTGGCAAGGAGTTCCGCAGGTTGACTACGCGCTGTGTGAAGAAGAACTTTCTTTTATTAGTTTTAAACCTGCTACCCATTAATTTCATTTGGTGTCCTCTAGTTCTTCTATTTAGGGAACTAATAAATAACTTTTCTTTATCCGCCCTCTCCACACCACTCATGATTTTATAGACCTCTATCATATCCCCCCTCAGTCTCCTCTTTTCTAAACTGAAAAGTCCCAGTCACTTTAACCTCTCCGCATACGGGACCCGTTCCAAACCCCTCATCATTTTAGTTGCCCTTTTCTGAACCCTTTCCAAGGCCAAAATATCTTTTTTGAGGTGAGGAGACCACATCTGTACGCAGTCATCCTGGCTCCGTCAGCGGCCAGCCCCTGCCGCTTCCGAGGAAGGGGAAAAAAACCCCACTGGGCAGTTATAGAATAACCTGGAAGATTCTTCCTGACCCTCATCCATTAGATCAGGGCTGCTCAACTTTGGAAGCCCCGGGGCCACAATGATACTCACAGCGCATGCCGAGAGCCGCAACCGAAGTGCGGTTGCATAGATATGCAAATCTATGCAAATCTATGCAAATAGCTTCTTTCACACTGACATGTGTGAATACCATGAATACAAAGATTAAGGCAAGACTACACAACACACAGGCCCCATTTAAGTCAGTTCTGCTGATATTAATAAAATGTACTATTGACCCAATTTCCACCCGTAGGACAGCACTTTTACTGAGCAATGACAGTCCAGGAATGGAACTACTAAAACGCATCGCCACAGAAGACCATTCTATTGATGCTTTTTTGTTTTGGCTCCCACCCTCATGCCGCACGTCGAGCCCCGCGTAAACCCAAATTGCATCGCAGGCCGCAAACAGATGGGCCGTGTGTTGAGTAGTCCTGCATTAGAGGCTGGTCTGTGCCCTGAAGCATGATGTTTCTATCTCCTCTCTTTTCCCCCGTCTAATGTAGCTGTCGATGTTCTTATGACTCATACACACCTCCACGCCTTTTGGAGTGCTGCTGTGCTCTCCGCCTTGATAGTATCCAGTGGCAGAGAGTTCCAGAGGTTTACAGCCCCGCCCCTCCTACCCCCAGCTCCACAGCTAAACCTGAGAGCATGAGGCAGCAGACTGCCAAGGAAGGGGGCTACCAGAGAGCTGATGTCCTTCTGCATTTCCCAGGTGTTGCCCTGAGGATCAAGGCCCTCTTCTCTGGGAGTCAGTTCCACTGATCTCCAGCCCGTCCTAAAAATGCAGAGGTGGGAACACACACACACACACACACACACACACACACACACTCATTCGCACATGCGCACACGTGCACACGTAGTCTCAAGGCGCCCACACACACAGAGTTGCACGTGGATACATCCAGGCACCCACACACAGCGATGTGCCGTGCAAACACCCCTCCCCTGAACGCAGGTGCAGGTGCGTGGGTGCGCACACACACGCTGCACTCAGCATCATGGCCTTCCCCCTCCAACGCCAGAGCTAGCCAAGCGGACGTATCCAAAGGGCACCGCCAAGCAGGGCAGGGGAGAGGGCTGGTGGGTTTGGGAGCGTCGCTCCCCCCCAGAAGGGAGTGAGGGTCAGCAGATGGCTGCTTCCCTTGGTATTACTGCCTGTCCGTGTGTCTCTCGGGCGCTCAGCTCCTGGGCAGCTTAGCTGGGGTTTCTTTTGCCTTGCCCTGTTGACTACGCTGATGAAGCCAATGGCAGAGAAAGAAACTCACCGAGATCTCTCCCTCCTTCCCAGCAATCTTTGACCTCACCCGGGAGCGTCTGTTCCTCCCGCGGGTCCAGCGTCCCAGGGTCGCCCTCCAGCATCGTGGTGAGTGCCGGACACGTCATGTCTCCTTCCGGGGGGGAGGTCACCCAAACGTCCTGTGGGGCAGCTTAATAGCGTGATTAAAGCAAGGGAAGGGGAGTGAGGACTCCTGGGTCCTGTACCTGGCTCTGGGAGGCGTGGGCGACTTTCAGTAGCACATGGGAGCAATGTTCCCTCTAATCCTTTCCACCGTGTGCAGAATAAATGTTGTGCATGGCGCACATGTGAATGTGCACCACCGGGCGACACAACAAACCTAGCTCTGGGCGGCGTTTGAATCGCTCCTGAGTGGCCGCCCAAGCACCCAGCTTACAGGGAACTTCTTCACGAGGTGCACCGCCTCCCTTTCCCGCCACCAACATTGTCACCCTAAATGGGGTGTCCCCCATGTCCCCTCCCTGCTCCCCCTCCCCCACAGGCACCAGTCACCCCTGCTGGGAGGAGAGTCTGGCCTAGTGCTTAGAGTAAGGCAATGGGAGTAAGGGGTCCTGGATTCCTGATCCGTGAGCTAGGCAAGCCCCTCCCCCTGCCGTGTGTTTCTCCATCCCTAAAGCGAGGAGCAGCCCTTTGGGGCGGGGAGGCCTGAGCCCCACGCGGAAAGAGCCGCGGGCCCTAGGCCAAGGCTCGGACGCCTGCTTCTCTGTGTGTGGAGCCGCTTTGCCGCCCTCGCAGGCCAGAATGGACAACGAGGTGCTGGGCTACAAGGACCTGGCGGCACTTCCCAAGGACAAGGCGATCCTGGACATCGAGCGCCCGGACCTAATGATCTACGAGCCCCATTTCACCTACTCCCTCATGGAGCACGTGGAGCTGCCGGGGAGGGGAGAGGTGAGGGAGGGTCCCTGGGGTGGTAGGCTCCCGGGGGGGGGAGCTCCCGCCTGGCGAGGGGGGGCTGTGTCTGAACTCCACTGGCGTCTCTCTCTCTGCTGCCTCCCACAGCGATCCCTGTCCCCCAAGTCCATCTCCCCTCCTCCTTCTCCAGAAGTGAGTACCGTCCCTCCGCGCCTCCCGCCCGGCCCTGCGCTGGCCTGCCCGGGCGGCCGCTGACCCTGGCTCTGTTCCCAGGTCATCCGGGACTGGACGGAGAACAAGGCCCTCGGAAGTGCCTCTCAGGCAGCGAGTCGCCGGACCAGCAGCACAGCCCGGAGCGGAGTGCACCACTTCCACCGACCTGGTACCTGGGGCTCCCCACGGCTCCCCACTGGGGGATGGGGTGCGAGGGAGCAGGGCCCCAACTTCAGGGCTCCACTGACCCAACCAGAGACCCAAACCAGACCCCTCCTCTGCTCCTACTCTGGTGCCTTCCCCCCGTCACCAGCCTGAGCCAGGGGAGCCCGGAGCCGGCCCGCAGACCCAGCTGGGGGGCTGGGCCCCATCGGTCCTTCCTCCCAGAGCCTCCCCCACCAGTGGGGAGGGGGACACTCAGCCGCGGCTGCCCATGCTGGGGCCAATGGCCGTGGGGGACTGGCTCCGTCTCTGCCACGTCTCACCCTCCCGTTGCCCTTCCCCAGAGACCAACACCATGGAGCTGAACATATACAAGAAGCCGCCGATCTACAAGCAGAGAGGTGAGGGCGGCCGCTTTCTGCGCCCTGCCGCGCAGGCATCTCGGGGCGCCGGACGGGGGGGAGGGGCCTGAAGGAGACGGGGAGACCAGCCCTCCGTTCCCTGTCCCTCCATTGCAGAGCCCGCGGCCGGAGCCCCGCTGAGCAAACACCTGAGAGAAGACCAGATCATTGAGTCCTCCAAGTTCCCAGCAGCCCAGCCCCCGGACCCCAACCAGCCGGCCAAGATCGAGACGGATTACTGGCCCTGCCCTCCCTCCCTGGCAGTGGTGGGTAGGGGGTGGCGGGGGGCGGTCCCTGCCGCGTGTGGCCCCGGCTCAGCCCCGAGATGGGAACGGCCGAGGACAGCGGGCGTGCTGCTCTGAGTCAGCAGCGAGGCCCCGTTATGGCGACGGAGGGGGCCCCGGGGTAGGACACCCCGCGGGGCCCTGGCTGCTCGGGGTCGTGGAAGGGCCCCTGGGGGTGGCCCAGCTGTTGGGGTGCGGCATGCTGCCTCCCGGCACTTCCCCAGCGGAGTTGGCTGGATCCTTCCCAGCCGCCTCCGCCTCCCTGCTCCCTTGCTCTGCCCCGGCCCCCTGACACCCTCCTTGGCTCCCCAGAGAAGGAGTGGAGGCGGCGGATGGCCTCCAAGAGAGGCGTGGAGGAGGACGAGGATCTCACAGAGGAAATGACCAACCTGCGGGAACTCCAGAAAGAGGAGCTGAGTAAGGTAGGGTGGACTCAGCAGGGCCGGGGCCCCAGGAGTGACTGAGCCCGCGACTGTGCTGGGACTGGGGGAGGCTTCAGCTTGGAGCATGTTGGGATTAGAGGGGAGCTGTGCCCTGGGGGATGCTGGAGCTGGAGGAGGGCTGTGTCATGGAGGATGCTGGAGCTAGAGGAGGGCTGCGTCATGGAGGATGCTGGAGCTAGGGGGCTGTGTCATAGAGGATGCCAGAGCTGAGGGGGGCTGTGTCATGGAGGATTCTGGAGCTAGGGGACTGTGTCATGGAGGATGCTAGAGCTGAGGGGGGCTGTGTCATGGAGGATTCTGGAGCTAGGGGACTGTGTCATGGAGGATGCTAGAGCTGAGGGGGGCTGTGTCATGGAGGATTCTGGAGCTAGGGGACTGTGTCATGGAGGATGCTAGAGCTGAGGGGGGCTGTGTCATGGAGGATGCTGGAGCTGAGGGGGGCTGTGACATGGAGGATGCTGGAGCTGGAGGAGGGCTGTGTCATGGAGGATGCTGGAGCTGAGGGGGGCTGTGACATGGAGGATGCTGGAGCTGGAGGAGGGCTGTGTCATGGAGGATGCTGCAACTGAGGGGGCCTGTGTCATGGAGGATGATGGAGCTGGAGGGGGCTGCGTCACGGAGGATGCTGGAGCTGAGGGGGGCTGTGACATGGAGGATGCTGGAGCTGGAGGGGGCTGTGTCACGGAGGATGCTGGAGCTGGAGGGGCTGCGTCACGGAGGATGCTGGAGCTGAAGGGGGCTGTGTTGTGGCTGGATGCTGGAGCTGCG